TCGCGTTTCGATTCTAGGATTACGCGATTATTCATTATTGTGCGTTCGCTTCCTGGAGTTGGTTCTCAATACTACATAAAAATCATCGAGGATAAATAATTTAATATCCCACTTTGTACTCTTCACGGTAAACCATAGGCTCTGAAATACTCGTAGAATTTTTATTGAAAATACAGCGAAGAGAAGCCATGATGTTTTAATCGTGATAAAAGGTCATCTTCCTAGGACCGCCCCCTGTTTAATAATTCATGAGATGACGTCATATTTACTGGGCATTGCCACGTGTTTTTACCGACCCCATCAAAACACTGGTATGAATGACGTGTTTCTGATTTATATATTCAAGAGCAGTTGTTCTGGTCCAACGATTTTACATAAAATGTCTATGTCTATACGTTAACTTTCAATTTCAATAGTCTAGAAAGTATGACAAAGTATGACAAAGCAGTAATTCCCGGTTTAACGCGCAAATATGCAAATTAGCCTTTTTTATTTTTAATTAGACACTTTGGCCATTTGCCTCGAAATTTTCACACATTATTGACAAGGTGTTCCCCCTTCAAATTACTCAATTAAAAAGGAAGCCAAATAAACTGCATTTCTACCTTAATGATAAGATGAAATTTTTGAACAATTTTTGATTAAAATTTGTTATTTTTTGAAATGTTCATATTAATTTTATTATGATGTAAACATTTTTAGCTATTTTTATCTATCTGCCTACACATCGTTACAACATAAAGAAAAATAATCAGATTACAAATGTGCCATCCAGATTTCTAACCTCAGTTGCAAATGGAAGTTGTACATTCCCAACAGTCAATGTGCATGACAATAATGATGCAGAAGAAAATTCTGATGACATAACAAATTTTGAGTTTCATAAATGGTACATGAGGAACAAATGAAAATGCTTAAAATCAGTTGATATGCAAATTAAACTATTAATATGCAGATTTAAAACAAAAAAACTATGTACTGGGGGATTAGACTCAAAGTAATCCTGATTGCATTTAAACTAATATTAAATTTCAATAACAATAGATTGCCTTTTGTTGATAGTGAATCAGGGACTCCTTTGTGACGCAAATACTTTTAGCAAAGCTGGCCATCAAGTCACTACATGTATTCAGACCAACCTGTATACAAGTAATACTGTAGCATTTATCCAAGTTTATTTTTGTTTACCTACTTATCAATAAATTTATGCATTGGCAGATTAGTAGTGTAAGCCCTGATGACTGTTCCCGGAAAGTACCAGGATGTGTGACATTCAGGGGTCACGTACAACTCTTATTAAAACCTACTCCTTAAATATTTTGATTCTGAGTATAAATTACCGTGTGTGAGGGACACAGTAAATATACTTACCTTTTCTTCTTGTAATGAACTCAAACTTGGCAGGTACAAGGGTGTCCAGACTAATATTAATTAGATTCAGACCAGCTTCTTTCAATGCTGGCAATTTTCTTTTCAGGACAATTCCATTGGTTGTCATGGCAAGACATCTGAGGTTCAAGCGTCCAAGCTCCTCTAAATTGAAAAAAAATTTTGGATTTTTTAATTTGATTTGACATTGTTTTGTTACAAACTGTAAAACACTTTTAGCATGTGAGGTAAATTATAAAATTCAATGATTTGTTCTCACTTACAATTAGGTGAATAAAGTTTGTAAAATAAGAGTTTAAAGTATTTTATGAATAGAACAAGCTGCTGTACATGCAGCAAGTAATCAACATTAAAATGGCCATTACTCGGCCATCTTTAATCAGATCATCAAACAAACAAACATCAAGACATGCATATGCATCTCAAAATCTATGGATGTATCAGTCCAGGCTTGTAACAGTAACATATGGTCATCCTGAGGTCAAGCCGAACGAAAATAATAAGCTTGTAGGTGATAAATATCATTATTATACATCTGTCACCGTAAAGCCATAAGTTACAGCGTGCCGTAATTTTGCGGTATTTTACGGGGTATTTTCATACTACCATATTTGGAAATGCGAATTCCAAATATGGAATGATTATGCACGTAAGCGTCCTCTAATAATAAAAACAGTACGCTGCGTGTCGGTCGATACTGCCGCTGTACTGTCTTCGTGCATACTTTGAGGTATCTTCGTAATAACCTTATAGTATATAGAAAGTAAATTTCAAAATAATTTATTTAGACATTCTATAATTAATACATACATATAAAAAGTAAATATTGTTTGACTTACGAACAATCTCAATAGCATCTCTTCGAACAAGTGGCTCTCCACCAGTAAGGCGGATTTTATCAACACCCTGACTGACGAATAACTTTGCTATCTTTACGATCTCTTCCGTGGAGAGCAGACGCTGCTTAGGAGTTAATTCTACACCATCTGTTGGCATACAGTACTGACCTGCAAACATAAATTGAAACTATATTGGAATATGCACAGACCAATATTTACCAATCACAAATCATAGCACATAGCATTAGAATTACATAGGTAACATAATGCTGTATTTGGACCACATGTGTTTTAAACTAACAACCACAGCACCAAATTGCCTAGCTGGATGCCCTAGCGTGACTTCCACTAGACCGCCAGGCATCCCCAAACAAGAAGGCTTATACCCAAGCTTATTCCACATTGAGAACTTTCAACCCTACAAGACCAATTGAATGCACACAGCATACAGGATGGTGATCAGAACCCTCCTAACCTACCTAGTAGTACTACTAGTAGTAGTACAATGAGAGATGGTGATATGGGAGGAGTGACAAACAAATGTATGAATGAAGCTTATTGGAGACGCATTCTATGGTAGACCTACACATCTGGTACATTGGGATAACTATTATGATTCCTTCTACTGTATACCCGATAATCTTGTTTATAGATAGACACAATCCAAGGTATACTAACTAACGACTAAAACACCTAACACAATTGACTTACATCGCAGATTGCATTTCTCTGTCAATGAAATCCTTAGATAATTATGTGTTCTTCCAAAGGTATCTGTCAAAAACTCAGAAAATGGTAACACATTCTTGTCAGCAAAGTATTTCTTTCTTGTATCCTGCAATAATAATGGTAATAATGATGAAAATTTAAGCTGCAAGCAGGGTCCAAAAACAAGGACCTGTACCCACACTAAGCGGTAACCAGTAAACTGTACCCAGCATAGCCAGCTGTTCCTGATCAGCCATATCCACATCCACCTTAACCTAGTCAGCTGTGCCCAGTCAGCCATACCCAGTCAGTCATACCCAGGCAGTTGTCCCAAGTCAGGCCTAAATAAGCCATACTAAGTCAGCCCAAGTCAGCCCTAGTTAGTCATACCCAGTCAGCAGTTCCCAGTCAGCAGTTCCCAGTCAGCAGTTCCCAGTCAGCAGTTCCCAGTCAGCCGTTCCCAGTCAGCCGTTCCCAGTCATTTGTACCCAGTCAGTCATACCCAGGCAGTCGTCCCAAGTCAAGCCTAAATCAGCCATACTAAGTCAGCCCAAGTCAGTCATACCCAGTCAGCTGTTCCCAGTCAGTCATACCCAGGCAGTCGTCCCAAGTCAAGCCTAAATCAGCCATACTAAGTCAGCCCTAGTCAGTCATACCCAGTCAGCCGTTCCCAGTCAGTTATACCCAGGCAGTCGTCCCAAGTCAGGCCTAAATCAGCCATACTAAGTCAGCCCAAGTCAGTCATACCCAGGCAGTCGTCCCAAGTCAGGCCTAAATCAGCCATACTAAGTCAGCCCTAGTCAGTCATACCCAGTCAGCCGTTCCCAGTCAGTCATACCCAGGCAGTCGTCCCAAGTCATTTGTACCCAGTCATTTGTACCCAGTCAGTCATACCCAGTCAGTCATACCCAGGCAGTCGTCCCAAGTCAGGCCTAAATCAGCCATACTAAGTCAGCCCAAGTCAGCCCTAGTTAGTCATACCCAGTCAGCCGTTCCCAGTCATTTGTACCCAGTCATTTGTACCCAGTCAGTCATACCCAGGCAGTCGTCCCAAGTCAGGCCTAAATCAGCCATACTAAGTCAGCCCAAGTCAGTCATACCCAGGCAGTCGTCCCAAGTCAAGCCTAAATCAGCCATACTAAGTCAGCCCTAGTCAGTCATACCCAGTCAGCCGTTCCCAGTCAGTCATACCCAGGCAGTCGTCCCAAGTCAGGCCTAAATCAGCCATACTAAGTCAGCCCAAGTCAGCCATACTAAGTCAGCCCAAGTCAGTCATACCCAGTCAGCCGTTCCCAGTCAGTCATACCCAGGCAGTCGTCCCAAGTCAGGCCTAAATCAGCCATACTAAGTCAGCCCAAGTCAGCCCTAGTTAGTCATACCCAGTCAGCTGTTCCCAGTCAGCCGTTCCCAGTCAGCCGTTCCCAGTCAGTCATACCCAGGCAGTCATCCCAAGTCAGGCCTAAATCAGCCATACTAAGTCAGCCCAAGTCAGCCCTAGTCAGTCATACCCAGTCAGCTGTTCCCAGTCAGTCATACCCAGGCAGTCGTCCCAAGTCAGGCCTAAATCAGCCATACTAAGTCAGCCCAAGTCAGTCATACCCAGTCAGTCATACCCAGGCAGTCGTCCCAAGTCAGGCCTAAATCAGCCATACTAAGTCAGCCCTAGTCAGTCATACCCAGTCAGTCATACCCAGTCAGTCATTCCCAGTCAGCCGTTCCCAGTCAGCCGTTCCCAGTCAGCCGTTCCCAGTCAGCCGTTCCCAGTCAGCCGTGCCCAGTCAGCCGTTCCCAGTCAGCCGTGCCCAGTCAGCCATACCCAGTCAGTTGTACCCAGTCAGCCGTTCCCAGTCAGCCGTTCCCAGTCAACCGTTCCCAGTCAGCCATACCCAGTCAGCCATACCCAGTCAGCCGTTCCCAGTCAGTCATACCCAGGCAGTCGTCTCAAGTCAGGCCTAAATCAGCCATACTAAGTCAGGCCTAAATCAGCCATACTAAGTCAGCCCTAGTCAGTCATACCCAGTCAGTCATACCCAGTCAGTCATACCCAGTCAGTCATACCCAGTCTGCCGTTCCCAGTCTGCCGTTCCCAGTCTGCCGTTCCCAGTCTGCCGTTCCCAGTCTGCCGTTCCCAGTCTGCCGTTCCCAGTCTGCCGTTCCCAGTCAGCCGTTCCCAGTCAGCCGTTCCCAGTCAGCCGTTCCCAGTCAGCCGTTCCCCGTCAGCCGTTCCCCGTCAGCCGTTCCCCGTCAGCCGTTCCCCGTCAGCCGTTCCCCGTCAGCCGTTCCCAGTCAGCCGTTCCCAGTCAGCCGTTCCCCGTCAGCCGTTCCCAGTCAGCCGTTCCCAGTCTGCCGTGCCCAGTCTGCCGTGCCCAGTCTGCCGTGCCCAGTCAGCCGTACCCAGGCAGTTGTACCCAGTCAGCCGTACACAGTCAGCCGTTCCCAGTCAACCGTTCCCAGTCTGCCATTCCCAGTCTGCTGTGCCCAGTCAGCCATGCCCAGTCAGCCATACCCAGTCAGCCATACCCAGGCAGTTGTACCCAGTCAGCCATACCCAGTCAGCCGTTCCCAGTCAACCGTTCCCAGTCTGCTGTGCCCAGTCAGCCATGCCCAGTCAGCCATACCCAGTCAGCCGTACCCAGTCAGCTGTCCCCAAAACTAACTAACTGAAACTAACTCTTGAACAACTAGTGTGTATTTAATAGGCGCCCTTTAATGACAAGGGGAGATGCGACAAAAATAAACAGCCAATCAGCTTGTTTCAAAAAACAGTAGAGTGTATTTTTTTTAAATGGCGACCCAAGCAGAGCAGATCACGCAGTTTTTCAAGGTAAAGAGCCGATCACCAAAACCATGTAATTAAGGTATTTCTAGCTGAAAAAAGATGAGTTTGTTGCAACACAAAAATTGTGCAACAGTTCAACTCTTGCATGATCAGTCGAGTTGCTGAGATTTCCTTTCAGAGTTGACAGTTTTATTACTTTGTTAAAACATGGTCGACATAATTATTTGTCACTTTGCTGACAAAGTATGCCATAAACAGCCTGCAACGTTGGCATAAAATGTTGTGGAAAACTGGGTGAAAAAATGCAGCGCTGTTTTAAAATTACACAGGCTCAGCACAAATTTGTTTATTTGTCTATATTTGTACTGGTAGTTTTAATCGCTGTTCGATTTGCTTACCTGAAATTTCTAATAGATGGATGTTTGACCTACTGTAAACATGTCTTTTTTGCGAACATGTCTTTTTAGCGAGAGAACTGATTTGCTAATTCAAGATGTCGACTTCATCTTGGGGATTTGTATACAGTAATCCAGAACATAAAAATCTGGGGTGCTTCCTAATTACACTTGCTTTGTTTTTATGGAGGTGATAACTGCACATTTGTTTTGGCATGCAACAGACAAGTATTGTGAAAACTGGAAATCAACAATGAAAAGAGAGATTCACTAAATCAATATTTCGCTATTACGTCATTTTACCACAATTCGCTAAAATTGCATGTCGCTGTTTCAACATGTTTTACAGTATTTTGGGGGCAGAAATGGTTTGTATGTGGATTCTATAGAACAACGGGATAAAATGAAACCACATAAGAAAAGTCAGTGAAATCTAACATAGGAAGTAGTTCATATATTTATATGACTGTCATTTAGGATGTAATTTTTTCACAGTAGTACTTGAAGAGGGTAGTTATTTTACATTCAACAAAATCACCGGTCACAAAATATCAGCATATTCAAAAAACTTTCGTAGTTCTAGAGACCTTGGCTAAATGTTATTTTTTTCAAAATACGCCTGTCCGAAAACTGGCACAATGAGCTTATTGTCTACTTTATCAACGTAACAATTCTATATACATTACCGTTTTGATGGAGTTGGCGGTGTCTTCCTGAATTTCTCTTGGACGAGGCTGTGTTTGGACACCAACTAAAGGTGCACTTGCACACATATTTCTACACATCCATGGAAGTCGGTACCTTTCCATAAGACTTCTCAAAATCCATTTAGACAACGCCATCATCGCGATCAAACTTCGACTAGCTAACACAACCAGGCCACTTCAACCACAAAATTCGTTTCAGAATGATCGGTGCCAGCATCGTCCTTACATGCTGTATATAACTAGAGTGGGTGGTAGGGTCAATGAAAATGTTACGAAGGTTATCACAAGCGGGCGTTTGTGTTAGCTGTCCAAAAGCGCCCTCTAGCAATAGTCAATAAAATCTATTGTATTTGATTAAACATTTAACTGCTGCCTGAGACAAAAAAATCCAACTTCATATGTGCAACGTGTGTTATAATCTTCACATCTGTTGCTGTAAAGCAGATGGACTAGACAATATTGCTTCTAAATATGATGAAAAATCTACTAGTTATAACGATACAGGTCATTGATTACTTTTAGGCGGTTTTGTAAAGAAACTTTTTTTGTTTCCTTTTCCTGTATCCATATTAAAATTAAAAAAATATCATCTTAATTTTTAGTTTCACTCGCCTTGAAGGGGGAGTCTAAACTTACAGCATGATAATCTCAGATGAAAGATCACCACGAAATATATAACCTGCGTATAAGTTAATCTCCTCGATAAATTGAGCTTTTGGTGAAAAAAATAATATTTTTAGTTTTATTTTATATGTATAGTTGACACTAATGTGCTACCATGTTTGTCAACTTTCAACTAAGACCACACCGACTTAATTTTATGGATGACATCTGCGCGCGCATTAGTTTTCGCCTGTTCTTAAAAAAAAAAAAATCTCCGACGACGAGTCTCCACAGATCGGTTTTCTGTCCGGAACTTGCCGACTCATATTGTCGCAAAGCACCGATTTGTCGTAAAACTCGTTTTTGACTACCTCAAAACGTGCCAATTTTGTCGTAAATGATCTTCTTATTGCCGGGAATTTCAAAATACGTGAGCATAAAAGTTCAGAGGTAAAACGGGGGATTGTTGTAGACTGTAGAAAGGAGCAAGCAGGACATTACTGTATCATTGCAATATTGTGTTAGTTATTGTAATAAAGTAGTGAAATGTACATTCCGCCTTGATTGTACTGAAAATGGTGTTCATGTTGTACCTTGAATGCAGTGTTGTACTAGATAGAGCCTGTCTGAAATGGTTATACCTGTGACAGTTATACAGTACATCAACATGTGCTTCCTACAAATCAAGACTTCTTGTTTTGTTTTTTTGATACACTGTGTTCTGTGGTTCAATTCGTAATACCAACTCCGTAGTCCTGTGGTTTTAGCAGCATTTGGGGGGGACAGGATTTTTTTTTTCTTTATAAAGATCATAGAAGAAATCATTTCCTCAATTGTTTTCACGACAGATGCCATGAGGCCATACTATGTATGACCGTATGAATTGAATCTTTAATGTGGTAATGTAGGAACATTTACTCAGACATACATTTCAATCGTCGAATATTACGTAACATATCAGCCTATAGAGTAAGCGAATTTATGATTTGGGAAAACACATTGTCACACGCAACGTAATATTACCGTAATTGGTATAGTACAGGTGTGATGGTTCAAATACCAAAATGGCAACAGTAACAGAAGACTTCCCTGGCGGCAATGATAAAATACGAACACGGAGCCAACAGATGAGGTTTTAACTGGTACTGGTATTATTATACTCCGCAAACATCAAGTACAATAACGCTGTAAAACTCCACTACTCCAATAACTAGATACTTAAACTCCAATACAATTCAACGAGATCTCCGATCTGAACTCAGTGCTGAACAACAACCCCCCCTATATATACCCACACTGTCTATAAATAGACCATTACATCAGCATACATAATGAGTCTGGAACTTACTACAAATTTCTAGAATGTTCCATTACCTTCTTTTGCCTCCTACAGTGTTTTATTACCTATTCAACCAGTTTCTAAAAAAAATCTAGAATATTCCACCCAGACACAGTACGGTTCTAGAACATTCTCAGTGACACAGAAGTGGTAAATAAGTCGTATGCGACACACATAAAATATTATTTTGTTTCCTTGCCATGAAGCATTTATTACTGACATCAAACTGTCACGGTCCCGAATCCAAGAGAATTATTTGTTGGGTTAAACTTAGAAAAAACGCGTAAACTAAACATATGTAATGGAAGTTGTAACACGTTTTCTAAGACAGGGCACAAGCCCTAGTTTCGTAATTTATTTACTGGATCCAAATTACAAAGAAGAACAAATACAACACTTTTATTACACACATCGGCCGGCACATTGAAATAGAGAATTCTGGTATAATGTGATAGTTTTTGTTGAAGTCCCGTCAAACTCACTTATCATGTTTCAAGTCAGCAGTCTCAAATGTAAATTGTGTTAGATATTATATACAGATCAAACTTACATCACACTTGGCGACACATGCAGTTTGATGACTTCTAGCAGCACAGTGGTGGATTAAATGCGATGCTGAATAAAGCACATTGTAAACCCCAAGAACCCTGACATGTCACCTGACAAGAAATTGGTGTTTCCATTCGAGGTCACAAACGAATAAGTTTATCCCAATCATTTATACATTTTAGATGAGAACAATTATTCAATTTATTGTTTATTGATACTTATTAGACATGCCACAGAAATCAACATTTTGGAGGCAAATCAACCCAGTGACAACAAATCAGTATGATAATGATAGCCAAGGGGAATCTATTTAATAAAGATATTGTGTATGTTGATGTATATTGCATCTTGATAAAAACAACTGTCATCAAAATGAAAACCTTGTTTTGGCACAAAAAGCAGTATTCTTTCGATAAAATACACCGATTTTCCTATATGTACATGTAATTGAAAATTGAGAAAATGCTTTCACCTATACTATAAAGTGAAAACTACTAATGTGAATTAGTTCAAATTTTCGGTGTGCATTTTACTCATGTATATAATTATAATAATAGAAATTATAATGTTACATATACACAAATGTAGAGATATTGCCAAAAAACAAAAATAAAAATCCTTATTTTGGCCGTTAACAATAGAATGAAGCATTTTTGTCCCTTTTTGTGGTCAACAGGGTAAATATCACTTGTATAGCCTACTCGCATTGTACACAATATACAAAAAATGAGCATTTGGTAGAAAAACACAAAAAATAATATTTTCAGCTATGTTGCCATGACAACTATTTTACATGCATGTTTTGCACTGGTACATGTATGCTACCATGTTCTAATCTTTCAACCAGTTTGTAGTTTAACTTTTCAAGTTATAGATGAAATCATTTTCTCAATTTCACACAACAGTAGATATTATATT